CTCTATTTGCATATTTGTGCTATTTTAGTTTAGAGTATAGATAAAATGTAGGATAGGATCAGCAAATCTCCTTGTCCTCTGATATTTAACAAGGTGCATTTTCACCTCTGATGATGCCTGTCAAATAAAATTACGGACTAATACTTGAAGGGTCTTCACTTGGAACGAGGTAGGCTGTCTCGGAGTCAACATCAACCTTATTGTCGAAGTAAAATCGAACAACTTCGGGAGGATGCTAATCCGCAGTCGTCTGGCGGCATTGACATACAGTTCTTTCGTTTTCACACAAAAGGGAAGTCAGCCAAACAGGATGGCAAAAGCATACTTCATGCGGATGATCCACCTCAAGTGAGGCGTAGAAGAAGTTCTCGAAGTACGATTGAAGGCCTTTATTGTAAAGAAAATCTCGGTCCTTAATAAAGTATTGTCATTCGACTTTCCATTTCGACGGAAAAAGTTGATTGGAATAAATCCAAAATGGAGTCCCAACGGAAACCGAAAAAGGATGATTGCTTTTGGGGAAAGGCGATTGAATTGTGTTTAGAAGCCCTCAGCTCACTTTCCTGAGACCACGATGAACCTTTGCAAAGCTTTTTTCTGTATCGGAGTAATAGAGATGATCAAAAATCAAGAAAGCATACTTTATAAAATACCACATTAAATGACTAAACCAAAATAAAAGGTGACTTGCTGCAAATCTTGTCACTTCTGCTACGTGGTCTTGCAATTTTAACGCGGCATCCCAGGAATGGTTTGGCCATCTTAAACTTTACATGTTTGCCGTTGAGCGAAGTAAATTCAAGAACAGAAAGTGGATGTGGTGGCAGCTGTTTCCTTACACAAATAAACTAGCGTACGATCCTTTTATGTCGACTTGGATTTAAGCATGTGCTAATGTCTTTTGTGTGAATGCAATGTTATGTCATGGGAGGTGTGATAGACCAAACTAGGCAAAATAACATAACATAAGATCTTGAATCAACTTTCCAGTTCAAAGGAACAGTTGGTTGGAAGCAATTATTAAATTGGACTTACTGAAACACGAAGCAGGAATGCCCTGAAATGAAGGTATTTCGATGTTGAGGAGGATTATTTTTTTGAGAAAATATACACTTTTTGTTCTTGAATTAACTTCGCTCATCTGCAAGCATGTAAGGTTTGAGGTGGCCAATCAAATCATTTGATACCTCTTTAAGATCATAATACCACGTATCAGAAGTGATCAGATTTGGGATCAGGTACCTTTTCCCTTGGTTTACTATTTTGCTGCGATATTTCGCAAATTATGCTTTCTTGCCATCGATGTACGGACGAAAGCTTAGCACAGATTCATCAAAGTTGTAGGACGGTAAGCCGAGCGCTTCTTCACACAATTCAACCGTCTTTCCTCATAGGCAATCATCTTTTTTCGAATTTACGAATTACTTTTAATCAACTTTTTTCTTCGAAACGGAAATTCGAATAAAAATATTCAGTTTTTGATGAAATACCCAGCCTGATCTGGCCTCACATCCACCATAATGCTATTAAAGAAAGAATTACTTTGCTTAAGTAAGTATTGATGGGTATCAAAGTGTAAGTAATCCCTAAAAGAGCCCTTTAAAATGAATAATAGTTTATTATTATTGGGCGGTATAAGTCCAGAAAAAGGAGTCTCTATCACCTACTGGAAGCCTCGCAGGTGACCTCTGTCCAATTGTTGTAAGGCAAAACAAATAGTCCCAACAACTGAGAGAGTACAATTTTTAGACACAATGCAAGAAAGAGCAGGTCTGTTTGTCTGAACTGCCTGGAGCATATCTCACGATATCTATTCTCATTGCATGGACCTCTCATTGGTTGTTATGACCTGATACCTCTTACAAAAACGCATACATGCATTCCACACACGCATATGTGCACACATATGTACGTACCTGTATACGCACATTTGGTACAGAACTGTTTTAATAGACTCAAGCGACAGCAGTTTGATTGGAATCCGCCCTCCTCCTCTAGTGAGATCGACCTACGAATCTCTTCAGCATGCACCTCCACATGGCAACATCATCAAACAGTTTGTCAATTCTGTCACTGTTTCATCATCACTTCCACATTACGTTATGTCATGGTCCTGTTGGCCCAAAGACGTCTACCAACTTTCCAATCTGAAGCTGATTGATGCCTCTGGCATTAGGCGTTATGCTAAGTCGATGTCATCATGAAGTATGATGCATCCTTGGTCACCTGGTGCCATATGAATCGGTGGCGATATGTACGAAGTGGTCGGTGGTTTTCGTCAGATTGCCTTATTCACATTTTTGTCCTGAAGACCACTTTTATCTCGTATCCTCGAAGGATCAGTATGCCTCCGATTTTTTCCGTCCAGAATCTTTGGATCTATCGGAAACGGATGCTCTCGTACCTGCGTCACTGTCGTCAAAATGAGTCACCCCTTCACTTCTCGTGCCTCTGCTGGGCGCCCAGACAACCAGAATAGGGTCGTTCAGGCAGTCATTTGCACATATCCACCCGACATCCCACTCACACCCACCAATCATCGCCAAATTCGCCTCGTCTGTTTTCCGTGTGACACACCAACCTAGCTCACTCTCACTCTGCCTCACTCTCTTAACGGAATTGTCTATGATTGACGATCCGCTGGTCGCCCTTCAGCTCAAGCAACGATGCTGTAGCGTCACAATTGCTTATTTATTCTGCCCATGCGTCTACCACACTTAGTTGGCCATACAGCCATTTGACTGAAGGCGCCTCTTAAGAGGTCTCCTACCAGGGTACCTCACCTCAGAATGTAGCCGGTAGTGTGCCGATTAGTTTGGTTGGTGGGCCGGTGGGCCGATGGGCTGTCTAACTGATGCAGGCTAGGGCAGTTACCTTCTGCTACAGATGGCCTGGGCACTGAACCACTTTAGCG